CACACACACACACACACACACACACACACACACACAATCAGTTTTCCTTGCACATACACACGCACACACACAATCAGTTTTCCTTGCACACACACACACACACACAATCAGTTTTCCTTGCACACACACACACACACATACACACAGACACAATCAGTTTTACGTATGCTTGTTTTTCCTTTCTCCTGTTTTTTTTAAGTGCTTTTTGTGTCTCTAGCCGAGCACCCTCTAGCAGTGCCAAACAGTCGGTGGTTCCTCATTTGGAGTGCCAACAGCACTCTTAGGGGGGCCGCTCGGTTCGGGATGTCTGTGTTGCCTGTCGGTGATGACGGATGGTCGTCAGAGTGTCCCCCTGGCTCAGCGGGTGGTGGGAACCAACAGTCTGCGGGGTTCTATCGTGATGTGAGTAGGTCATGTGCTGCTTTGCTCCGTGTTGGATGCGTAGACTGTCTTGTCTGCGCTCTGCCGTGGTCTTGCTGCCCGTGCCCCTTGCTTTGCAGGTCGTCCTTGCTGCTCTGCTGCCTTGCCGCCTACTCGCGGGTCGTACCTCCCGTGTCTTTTGCTCGCGTGCCTTGTGGTTTGGTAATCTTGTGGCGGTGCCTCGCGCTTCGCTGCACGGTTGCTGAGCTGCTTGTCTGTGTGCCCTGTCGGCCTTCAGTGTCTTTTGCGTGCATGCCTTGTAGTTTGGTTGCCTTGTTGGTGGTGCCTTGTGCTCCACTGCACGGTTGCCGAGCTGCTCGTCTGCTTGCCCTGTTGGCCTTCTGCGTTCTTTACTTGCTTGCGTGCCTTGTAGTCTGGTCGCATTGCTGATGTTGCCTTGCGCTTCACCGCACAGTTGTCCAGCGGCTCGTCCGCTTGCCCTGCCGTTCCTTGCAGTCGTCTTTGGCGATAAGCAGTTGGGTTGCCTCTATTGTGTTGCCTGGTGCTCCACAGGGTTGCTGCCTGCTGCTATGTCCCGCTTGGGGACAGTCTGCCTTCAACATGGGTCAAAGGGTTCATGACCCAAACCATCAAATACGGGGATTCCGCAGATTGTCGAGGGTTCAGCCTACTGATGAGTCGGTGCAATTCCGACGAAACAATCTTTCATCACCAACTTTTATTTTTTTTCGGTCCTTCGACTTTCTTGGAACTTGTATTTTTTCAGTTTGCCTGTTTTGGTGTCTGTGTACCTGCTTGGTGTGCTTGTGTGTTGTCTGCCCTTCCACCTCCCCTGGGCCCTCCAGCCTTTGTCCTTCGCTGTTGCTTGTCATCCCATGCCTTTGAAATCATACTCGACTCTTCACACTTGTCATGTATGCAAACAGCGAAACAGCAACTGGCGACATGCGCCCACACAATACTCAAGATATCGTAACCAGATATGAGTTCTCTTCAACTGGCTATGGCAACTGGGCGCCCACACAACTCACTGTTCACACTCTGGATCACCCTGGATGTCCCACACGCAACACTCAGTATTATACTTCACACACCACACATGCTAGGCTACAGCTATGGCAGCGCTAGCTACCACTACCTATCGCTGCACTCTACTCCTCTGCCCACTTCGTCTTCGGGCACTCTGCAGACCTCCTCGCACAAGCTGCTAGG